AGTAACCCTCAGCCAAATCCGGGCGGCATTTAACATGATGGCAGTACACTCACGAGAGGGGCAAGTTACAACGTCCCCCCGCCCCCCGGCCTCCACAGAGGGTCCGCCACAGCCGGGCTGGTATGGCAGGGCAGAGGACAGGACGGGGGAGGGGAGCAGGAGACAACAGAGCAGTACAGACCAGGCCATGACATATCAGTAGGTGGAACAGGATATAAATGCACTGCGTGGAAGAGCGCAGGGCAGGAGACAACATGAAGGGACAGGGCGGGGAATAATGGCTCAAGACAGGGGAGCAGGTGAAAGCACAGGGCAGGAGGTGACAGGAAGACAGGGCTGAGGGGAGGGCTAGGGGTTAACAGGGGTGATGGCTGAGTGAGATAAGGTGTTTGTCATATAAGACAGGTTCTTGGAACACCGAAAATTCGAGCGCGGTTGCACGAATTCGCCGGACAGATATGCTCAGGAAACCTTAGGGGGTCGCATCGACCGCCCCCCCCCCCTCCCCACCTACCAGGGCGAGAGGAAAGGCACAAGGGGGAACCAATATTTGGACACGCCCCTGTCCCATTCCACAATTTCAGATACATCCTTATGTCTATGTTTACTTTACTAACATGCTTCATTATTCAAGCTCAAATTTGTGTCAGATCAGGGCTTAGTCACAACCTAGTCACAAATCAGGACCAGACTAGTGGGAACCAGATCAGAAGCATACACTTCATCGGGCCTTAAGAGAGAATAAATAAAATTTGCCCACAGTGTCCGACATTGTTGCGATCTTTTGACCAACTTATGCGAACATATAAGACGAAACCACTCGGGCGTGGCGTACGCAGCGGCATTTACTGATGTGTACGAGTATTGTGACGCCTGAGTTTGATATTCCGCGAGCAGGTGAGACAACTTTTCTTATCTGGTAGCTTCACAACAAAATTTTTACTGGCATTGGAATTTGCATATGTGCCGGAATAAATACGCAGCCAGTCGACCACTGTCCGATCTGCGCCAGTATCGTCACTGACTCATTCCAAACTTTGTCCGATCTGCGCAGGTATCATCACTGAACCATTCGGAGGTGACATGTCCGCGCAGTAAGGCGTTAAGTGGAGGAATTAGCATCAAAGCAAAACAACGATTTGTTTTTATAGGCTAGCCAAGTGAGATCAAGTTTGCATATTTTCAATGTTGTTTTGCCAGCGCATAATGTGAGCATGACTCGCTGTGCCACAAATATAATGACTGATAATACGTATATTTGAGACAGAGGCGTGGAGCATGGAATCACCAAATACAGCTACCAGGATGTTGACAATGTCCTGCTATCGCTGGATTTCCCAGGAGACTGCCGTGTCGGAACATCAAGTCACAGACTGCAACAACAATACGTTTTCATGGATATCAAGTTGACCCATTGACAGTATACAAACAGTAATAGCACACAATATGTTTAGATTTGTGCCTCCTTGTACCCTGTGTTTTTGTTCAACCCCGCAAGAGTGAATATCATAGTTGTTATGTATTATCAGTACACCTGTGCCACAGAGGGGGGGGGGACTGGGAATTGTGGAAGAACTTTACCGAGATTGACATCATCAACCATCAACACGCTCATGGCTCTTTGTTGTTTTTGTCATTAGTGGACTATGGCTATTACTACGTCAACTGGCACTTTGAAACTGGAAGTCGGACGTGCCCGAGTCGATGTCAAGCTATAACACGCGGCTGACACAGCCACGACCCTGGTGACCTGACACAGCCGTGACTTTAAGATGTCACCATCGGTGTCACGGCCTGGAAGAACGCGATCGTTCTGAATTCCCTGGGCATTGTTTAGAACCTTCTGACGCAGGTGGCACGCTCCAGCATGTGGTTAGTCATGGGGAAAGTCATGTATGAGTTGGGAAGGTGTTCAGCCTCTTTGCCCCAACATTGTTACGAAAATAATTCAAATGTGGGGTACCGGTTTTTGGCATGGGTTGTATTTTGGGGTAGGTTGCATCTATTTGCCAGGTCAGCCCCCCCCCCCCCCCGGATTTGTTGAGAAAGCTTCCCCTGATGCTGACCTGTGTGCCGACTTCACCTCTGGTTCTAACCAACAAGCCAAGCATGACTGTACACTCAATATTTGTTTGTCTCCTCGTCTCCAACAATGCATAAAAGGGTGGGTCAAGTGGACAAAGATCACGATCAACACAAGGCATACTTAGTCATGCGTGGTTATCTGAACAAAGCGGTCAGTCACCTTATCGGTACCCCGCTGTCCGCGTGTCACGTGGTTTCGACCCTCGATCTTGAAACGCAATTGGCCAACTGCGCGGATAGTTGCCGGTCGATCAGTGGACGATGTTTGCATGGATCCTCCTGCTGGACAAACTCATGTTCTATTAGACGTACGAGTTGCACCCTCCCTGCGTCGGTCTGGGCAATTGCTGAGCGCATTAGCACGCGTTCTGTTGGGGGTTAACTTGACCCCCAAATGTTTCTCCGGAATGGCTCCCGAACGGCGTGGCACCCCCCCCCCCCCCCCCCCCACCCGAGCGAAGGGTGTTCAACCGGCCACCCGGGCGCGTGTTAGTGTAGTTATCTGAGTCGGCCGGCTTCCTGAACACATCAGCTACAAGGCGGTTGTATTGCACCTGCATCATCACATCCGGCAGCCGGACCCCGCACTGAGATGGAATGGCCCTCCAGCGCTTGACCGGAAACGATTATGTGCCACCTAGTGTTCTACCCAAGGGGCCCGTCGTCCGTAAAAGTGAGTCTCATGGCTGTTAAATGGATTGGGTCGAAATTAGCTCAAAACAAAAAAGGCTAGCCCATGTTTGCCTAGGAACATTTACCCTCTTGAAGAATCGTCTAGTGAAACAAATAACATAACAATAACCCAAAAATAACAATAACACAACAATCTAGTGAAGTTTTGAGACTGCGTGCTCGCAATCTCAGGAGAGAAGCTGTCACAGTCGGGGGTGCAGTCTCCGAACACCCGAACAGAGTCTGGTTACTGCAGGCAACACCAGGCGGCGAGCACCGTGCGCGCGAGAACAACCGCCGTGAAATAGTCCGTTCGAAAATTGTCAAAGTAAATCCGTGCCGTTTAAGGATTAAGCTGTGGCGCATCTATTTCTCACAGATTTGGGAATGCCCCCTGAATGGATTAACAGTGAGAGCGACACGGAAGCATAAGTACTACCTTTATCGTTCCAGCTCCACCGACAGGCGTTCGTGCGCCCGTTGGCCACCGCTTCGTGCTAACCACATAACCGACAACGATAAGCCCACGGAGACTTCGACGCCGGACGTCGAGGCTTTTGTTACAAGGATTTGCAAGGGTGCATGTTCAAAACTGCGTTACCTCATTTTTCTCACTAATCGATTCTGAGTGAACGCTCACCATTCCCAGTTTAGCGTGGGCTAACCATGTTAATGCAGACTTTTGACCTCTTTCTATCTACAATCTAGGTTTACATGATCCTTTATATCTTTTAACGGCCTAGATTAAAATTC